AGATAGATGGCGTAAACCTTTCTTCAGATAATGATAGTGTTGTTCCCTCAGTAAAGCGGGCCTGAAAAAAAAAAAAACAGTGTAGAGTCATCTATTTAACCATCTTATTAGAATCTAGCTATTGCAAATTATGTTATAAATCATTTTTGCATTAAATGATCTCCTTATTCACAACGTGGCAAAAGATCATTTTCAACTTTTCAAAGATTTATAGTAGCTCACTAAAAGACAACAACTTATTTGTACAGAGCAAGTTCACACTGAGCTGACATCCTCCAATTATCCCCATCAAAGGAAGCGTCAGTGTTAAAATGATAGAGTCAGTGAGTCAGAACACAGCACGCTTGACTTCAGTGCTGGCCGCAGAGGTGCCGGGGCATGTCTAATTTGAGGGTACCTCAGCTCAGAGAACAGGGGCCGTATTCACAAAGAATTTTATCTTACCACTAGGAGTACTCCTAAATCGCACTAAAATATTTTAACTAGGAGTTTTCTCTTAAAAGTTATTCACAACGCCTTTCAGACCTACTCTTAGTAAGGAAAAATGACAACTCCTAAACTAAGAGTGAGTCTTCGTTGCTATGGATGATGTCAATTCTCATGCACGAGCTTCCTCGCAATGATCACGGTGATTGGTTGTTAGATGACAGGGCCATCATGCGGAGCATAACACAGACGCAACAAATCATGGAATCACGACATCTAAATATATCTGTGTCCTACACAAAATAATAATAGTAATGTCATCGAAATGCATATATAATGTTTGTGCCGGCCCCAGTGAAGTATAATTCTAAAAAGGCAGAGAGAGAGAGAGAAGTCGTGAATTAAAAAATTAAATTAAATCAAGGTAGCCTAATACCCTAATGAAAACCGCCACTTGCCTAATAATGAAAAAACGACACTTGCATTAACACTTGCTTGGTTAATTGACATCCTATTAGCCTAAATAGACTACTTAAAGCAAGGAAATGTTGCTCCTATTGAAGTAATGTAATAGTTGAATGACGGTGGATTATGAACTCGCCAAAACGGAAAAAAAAGCCCAACTGGACGCATGATCAGTAACTGCTGCTGGCCCAGTTGGTGCTGAAAAAAAAACATAATAAAAGGGAAATTCGGCACTGGGATATCAAGCAAAACTAAGCGTGAGACATGGGAGAGGATTTGTTTGCAGATCAATACAGCATTCCCGCTTGTGTCGCGGACCCCGGACGACTGCGCTACAATCATTTGTGATTAGGTCTTAGTGAGTTAGGAGTCCTCTCGACTTCTTTTAAGCTGTCCCAGACTTAGGTCCTACTTTTAGGGCTAAAATGCTTCGTGAATTACTCTTAGTGAAAAAAATTAGGAGTCCTAAAGTTAGGAGTGACACGCCCATTATTTTTAGGAGTTGCTCCTAAATTCGCCAGTTAGGAGCTACTTTTAGCCTTAAAATTCTTTGTGAATACGGGCCCAGATCCTTAACCCTTGTTCTGAGCCAAAGAAAGCATTGCATTCATTACATTGTGACAAGCTGATTAGAGCAACTTATGGCCTTCTACAGGCAAGTTTCATGAGAAGTCCTGAAGTTGAAAAATTTGTTGCGTTTCCCTCACGGGATAATTAATTTGTCCTTTCATGCATGAAATTAACTATAATTTAATTGACAGTCTGTGGATGTAAACTATTTAAAACAACTCTTTATTTTTTCAGTTTTTTCTTCAGTCACATGATTTTTCAGAAATCATTCTAATAAGCTGATTTGGTGCTCAAGAAACAGCTTATATTATTATTATCAGTGCTGCTTAATATTTAGAAGAAAACGTGTATTTTTTTAGGATTACTTGATAGTAAGTTCAAAAGAACAGCATTTACTTTGTTTACATTGTGAATGTCTTTACTGTGAATTATGATCAATTTAATGCATCCTGATATAAGTATTTCTTTATTTAATCCTACGGACCTTGAAGTTTTAAACAGTAGTGCATATAATTATTACTTAATTATTTATGTAAAAAACGATCTACCATTTACTGCACCACAATAACCTCATATCATCATATTGATGATATTACACACAATAAATGGTAAGCATGGCATCATCTGAACATGTATCTATTCCACGAATGAATGTTTGTAGCACCTACGAGTGTGTTTTCCCACAGTTTTCTTATTAGAGAGTAAAATTAAAAAGTTGTAAATATGACAACACAGCAAAATGTACCATCTGGATATGTGCAAGAACAGCTGATGTGCTACAACAGCATCTCTTCTAAATGTTTAGGTTACACAACCTTTGTCTTGCAGTCTGATTACATCAGTTTTAATCACATCTGGGTGTCTTATTTCATCTGCAAGTGCACTCAGTATAGAGGAAATAGGTTCTGAAATACACAGACGTCATGCTGTGGTGGAAGAAGGTGAAAATTAGCTGTACGCGAGGCAAATTTCACTAGTATATAGACTTTAGGTTTTCCTGCATATGATGTGATGCTGCTGCAAAGTAATACAAATAGGTGGAAAAAAGAATGCTACAAAACATACACAGCAGACACACGCAGAGGACAATCTGATGTTGGTTTTGCTGCCAAAGACATCGTCACACACAAAATATGTACTTGTACAGAATAACAGAAAATGATTGCTGTCCAAAAGCAGCACATTGAAACTCAATATTGTGGAGAGATCCTTTGTATTAATGGCCAGAAAAGGCTGAACTTTACTTACTGCGGTGAGGTGTGAATTTGTTGGTAAACACTGTATACCTCTTGAATACTGCATTCAACTTTTCTCTGGATTCAATGATAAAACAGGAAACAAAAATGTGGAGGTGAAACAACCAAACAGAAAATGTGACAACAACAGCAAGCCAAATGACATGCTAACAGAAGGATCATTGTGGTTGATGCTGACTGTGCGCTTATGAGTGGCTGACATCACATCCTGTTCAGCGTGTCATACAAAGACACAAAAATGGTCAACTGGCTTAATTTATTTTGAAAATCATAGTATGACTTAGTAGTGCGTACTGGAATTTCTACCAGTGCTTGAAAATTCTGAGGTAAAATAATAATAAAAAATAATAAAAATGATGTAATCATATAATTTTATTATGTAAGTAATAAAAAAGTTAAATATAATTTGAATACATGCATTATTTCAAAAGTCTTTGAAGCAAATTTTCCTTGTATTAGTGCTAAGATTTCTAAATATACATGTAAATATCATCTTTCACTTTATAACTTTTCATAGTTAACTGTCAACCACCCATATAATAATAATGCAGATCATACATTACAGTACAACATAACATAAACCAGTGAAGTATCAGCACATTCTCATTGTGGTAAAATATTCCACATTGTTCCTGGCAGGGTAATGTTCAAAAACGTTTATAATGGGATAGATCACTCAAACATGAAAAGTCTGTCATTATTTACACACTCTCATGTTGTATTTCCTACAATGATGACAAAATATCAGTTTTTGGTGAGCTATTCTTTTAAATGAATACTATTTACAGCATTGTAACAGAACTAGAGGAACACGTACTGGGTGACGCCGTGTTAATAGTATAATTATATTCTGCACGTGCAGAACACACCGCAGGATTTTCGGTATGCACTACTGTATCCTTTAGCACAATGTGAAGCACAGAAGCAGAGTAAATAGACAGTTAGCTCTGTGCTAGTACCAATTAGCTAACTAATACTAAGAGTTAAGCTCACCTGTTCTTTCGAAGTCACCGTTTGCACGCCGTCATCGTTGAAAAGCTCAGAGATGTGTGATTCATGAAAGCATCGCAGAGGTAGAGACGCCTCTTCCATGATGAGGTTTGAAAACACATGCACTGGAATAGACAGGGAACAGTTTTCCAGCAGAGCAAGTGTCTATGGTCAAGACAGCGTGGGCGGGGTTTCCTCAATGGAGGCAAGTGACTTAGGTACGGGAAGCATGAAGGCACATTTGAGAAGTGGTATTGATGCAAAGATTTGCGAGACGGTTCTCTCAAACAGTTCATTTCAAAGAAACGGTTCATAAAAGATCCAGTGATTCTTTTACGTCATGACGTAATACGCATCACGCCATACTAACATATTTGCGTGACATCAATTTATTCTTATTTTTATTTATCATTAATTGGCTATAATTGTTCAAAGCATGTCTATTTATAATTGTAGGCTATTTATTTTATATTTTATTTTATTAATTCGTTTTTTTGCTAATGAATGAGTGTTTTTTTTCCCATGTTTGTTTATATTTATTACCATGTAAAGTTTTGTAGATTGTCCTGAATGAGTGAAGCTACAGTATAATTTTTTTTCCTTAATCATTTTTTAAAATAAATGTTTTGGCATATTATATTCCCAAACCATTTAAAGTTTTAATAATTGCTGATTATTACTTTTTGCTGATAATAATGTTTAATTATTACATCCCAGTTTAGTGACCATGATTCAGCTCATATACAAACAGGCATTTAGATTCCTAAATATAACTTATATTCACATTTAACAAATACTAAAAATGAATTCACATCTTCTGGCTGATAACATGTTTGCGCGTTTTAATAGAATAATACATTTAAGCCAACTCTGTGTTGTATAATGTGTCTCAAAAACAGACGGTTATCGGTTAAAGTGACTCAAGTAGGCATACTCAAATTGTTCAGTCCGGTTTTGTGAACCGATTCAGTTGATTCATCGGGACTGAATCGACTCTAAAGAACTATGAGGTCACAAATCGGCCATCGCTAATTATAACAAGCCATCATCCCCATGTAGATTTACTCCTTGGACGTGTTCAGTATATTTTTGATTGTCAACAGAAAACGGATTTACTATGAATTTATGACGGTCTGAAATGCTTATATTCCAGATTGAATGTTATGCCTCAGTTTTATATTATTTATAGCTATTAGGTTGTAAACTATTGTAGGCTAAATGTACTTTCTGAACCCAGTCTTGGTATATAAAAAAATAATCTAGGTAAATTTACTTATCAGTATCAAAAGCATGATGCTGTGTGTGTGCCCGTTATCTCCACCCATTTCCTGAGGTGTGAAGGATGTCGGTGAAACGTACAGAGAGCATAGCTACTGTAGCCCACCGCACCCACCACAGACAGCAGCGTTACTGACTGATTTCTGCTTACATCGACTACTGCTTTATCTACACAGTCATTCGGCACGGACCGGTTGATGGAAAAGGCGAGAAGATGATACTTTGAAGAGGGTGGACATGGAAACCCGACGCTGAGTTCCTTTAATTGTGACCATAAGACACCATGGCCAAACAGTATGATGTGCTGTTTAGACTCCTGCTTCTCGGAGACTCCGGTGTCGGCAAAACCTGTTTATTATGCAGATTCACGGACAATGAATTTCATCCCTCTCACATTTCCACCATCGGTAAGAGTGTTACTTTCATGCATTCGTTGAAAGAGTTGCAGAACAAGCAGCACATACCGATAAGAAAGCCCATAGCAGCGCGGGGCCATTATAGTCTATGAGCCGTGAAAAGAATGGCTTGAGAATTACACCACATAGTGAGATGCATTTACACAACCTTTTCTAGTTCTTTCTGAAATGCTTGACTGTAGGCTATTTGTAGGCTATGTGTGTGTGTGTGTGTGTGTGTGGTCTTAAAATGTTGCATATTTACACTGCTGTCACAAACGTATAGCCTAGTGTTTGCTTTAGATTGTCCTGAAAGAGCTTAATATAAATTCACTAAATTAATATAAAATCATACGTAGGTTGCATGAATGGCAGTGAAGATACAGAAAGTGCAGGTGTATGTAATTGCATATAGATTGATGATCCATAAATGTGTCCTGTCAGCCATTCCAACTCGCACTGTTTTATGCAAGTACTTTGTATTGATATGAAATGGAAATCAGGTTTAACTCAATTGAAAGTTTTCGTCTCATTTGTGAGAAATATGTAAAGGTTTTTATTGGAATCTCTTAACGCCATTTTCTCTGAAAGGACTATTTTATCACTGCAAGCTTTTAAGCACCCCAAGTTGTAGGGATCATTTTTATTTTAGTTGATTGGATTTTATGAAAAACTAAATTTGGATTTAAAAAGGCATTTCACCTTAAACAGTGAGTGCTTGGTTTAGTAGAACATTTTCCCCAGCGTGCTGCAATTACATCCTGACAACAGCTTATTTGAAGAGGATGAAGAGAGAGATTATTTTACTGTAGTTTCCAGAAGTACATAATTTTATAATTTTCTCATATACATTTCTAATATGCATAAAGACACATTTTTTTTTCACGGATTGTCATTAGAATGCCCATTAATTTGACCTCAAACCCATTCTAAATACTTTTTAATTTAACATTTTTCTCATTCATGCAGTGGCGGTTCTAGCCCATTTCAACTGGGGGGGCCAAGCTGGGGCCAGTTGTACTGTTAGAGGGGCCAGTTACATTTAGACCTTATTGTTGTCATATCATTTTCTGCACTGCTGCAGGCATTAACAGGGAAAATACCGTGTTTATAATCATTCAACAATGTATTTGCATTTCCATTATATTTTTACATTTGCATTACATATTCAGTATTAGTCACAGTAACTGTAATAGACATGATGTCCTTCTTTCTCTTCATTTTGAGAACTATAGAGCAAAAGCAATGGGGACCAAGAAGCTTATTAATTCATTTACTGAAAATAACTGACTTGATATGTCTAACCGTTTACAGGGTTCCTGCACACTTTTTAGAGTCCAATTTAAGGCTTTTTAAGACCTAAAGAAATCAAAATTAATACCGTACATTAGAGGTGTGCAATATTGACAAAAATATATTTCAACATTTTCAACATTTTGTTAATAATTAGATAATATTTTACTGATTGTGTTTTTGTGCTGGTGCCATGGCTGGTTTAGGCCTGTTGTTGACAGCTGACTCACGAAGATATTCCTATTTTTCATATTCTATGCAGTGGTCGATTCACAGCAGTGACAGAAATACATTTTTTAATTAAGGGGCAATATTTGCCACCTTAAATTGATTTCCAGGGGCATTTTCACCTATATATGGACATTTTTTCTAAACTTATTTAGAGTTATGCATCACCTTTTATGTCAAATACTAACATTCAAATTATACAGTAATTATACTTATTTATACAATAATACTTAATTATACAATAATTATACAGTACCACTGTTACCAGTCAAATTAATTAATTCAATCAAAATCCATCTTTGCAGTGCAGAGGTGACACAGAAGTGGCATTAATATATTTACACTCCATTTACAATTGCATAAATAAAGCTATGAGATTTTTTTCAAATCAATATTTAAATATGAAATTATTTCTAAGTTTAACGTTTTAATTAAAGGATACTTTAAATATGAAACTAAAACCGCCAGTAGGCGGCGGCAAGTCCCTGTAAGAGGGATTCATTCATTCAAACGATTTGTTCAAACGGCCGATTTATTCGGGAAAGAAGCAAGTGATTCGTTCAAAACGCGGATTTCAGTCAAGAAATCATCGCTGTGTTGCATTGAGACTCACTACGGTTTCATTATGAAATTCTATTCGGCGAAATAAAGGGAAAACAAACAATATTGACAATATTGTGTCTAAAAAGTAACTCCCAATGTTAACTTATTGTTAATTTAACTGTTGTATAACATAAATATCACAGTTGCAATTGTGCACGGGAAAACGGCACTCTTGCTGATGTGATATTCTAATATAAGAACATAATATGATATAAATATAAGACAAAAACTAATTTGGGGACATAGCCTACCTATGAACTGCACACAGCAGTGAAAGGACGATAGACAAATGCTATGTCAGCTCACAGTGCCTCGTACATACCGTGAAACTTCAAATAATAGCCGAGTCCCGAATAGACGCCTGTCTCTTTTACACGCCTGGTGTGGCGACAGGTTTGGGTACATAAAGGCCGGTCTCAAATAGAAGCCGGGTCTGTTTTTAGTTTCGGGTTGTATTTTATCTTCTAAAACCCGTCAGAGCGTCCGCTTGCTGCGCTTGACAGTGCATAACGAGCAGAGAGAGAGAGAGAGCGCCCCGGCCGCGCGCGCGCACTCACCTCTTCAAACATTCTGCCGCGATTCCCGCGAATGTGATGCGAATTGTCACGTGAAAATGCAAATCCACAAAGATAGAAAAATAAAAAAATAATACACATACAACGATAGCAAAAAACAGTTTTGTAAAAATTATTTCAAACTCCACATTTAGGGGGGCCACAAGGGGGGCCAAGCTTTTTGTCACAGGGGCACTGGCCCCCCTGGCCCCCCCTCTAGAACCGCCACTGCATTCATGCAAACTAATAAGTGATTCTTATAGTGTGTAGTATGTCTTTCCAAACCTTTATGACTTTCTTTTTGCTACCATGGAAACCGTGGAATAGTTATCTTGCAAAAAATTGCTCTCTTCCATACATTGAATGTGAATGATGACCGCAATTATGCCTATACCAGTGTTCTTCAACCCTGCTCCTGAAGGACCCCCAATACTGCACATTTTCTTTGTCTCCCTATATTCAAACACACCTGATTCAACTCATCAGCTCATTAACCCAAGTGATAATGAGCTGATGAGTTGAATCAGGTGTGTTTGATTAGGGAGACAAAGAAAATGTGCAGTGTTGGGGGTCCTTCAGGAGCAGGGTTGAAGAACACTGCCCTATTCAATTTCATTGTATGGAAAAGAGTAGCTTGGACAGTTTGTTAAATATCTAATTTTGTCTTCCACAGAGGGAAGAAAGTCATATGGGTTTGGAATGACATGAGGGTGAGTAGATGATGACTGAACTGTTATTATTGTGTGAACTGCCCCTTTAAGAGTCGTCTTCTTTTTTAACGATAGATGTTTGCTTCCGTATTGTGACGGACATTTGAGTGTAACAGATTTATAAAAAAAGAAAAGTGTAGGCTATACTTAATTCTATGCATTTTTTAAAATTTCATTCCAACTTTAAGAGCATTGGATCATCATTGCCACATTTAAAGGGATATTTTGCCCAAAAATGAAAATATTATCATCATACTATGAATTCTACAAAAGATGTGAGGATGAGTAAATGATGACAGAATTCACATTTTTATGTGAACTATTCATTTTAATGAAGCATTTGAGGTGCTGAACCCTTACCAATATTTTTATCCCTCAATTAAAGCATGCTTCATTAGATGCGGAGTGAATGTCAGGCGGTTATTTTGTAAAGTTCAGGGTATGCTCTGTTGTGTAACTCTCTCAGTGTTTCCAAGGGAGCAGAAAATATCAAGTGACTTAATCTTGAAATTAGACATAATATTCATAACACCCTCCTATTCCTGATGATGACGATATCGCCCCAATCAATAAGGAATCAGAAGCCCTGACTCATTCCTGCAGCCTGCTGTCTGTCCCGCCAGAGTTTATTTAATATTGTGGGATTGATCTCTTTTTGTTTAGTAGTGATGTGATACGGAACAATCTTTAACTGCTGGATAAAAGCTTTAGTCTGACTGGTCCTGAGAGATGGCTGGCTCCTGCCTTAAAACATGGTTCAATAAGCTCTAGTCCGCAGGGCTATGACCCATATATATTATGATACTCGGCTGTCAAGGATCTTAAGCGCTGTACTGGAATATTATTCATGGTGGAAGAGATGTCTGTGTGGTCTGAAAGTTAATTTGAAGCAGTAGCTAATGGTTCTTAACAGTTATATATTTGCTTCGAGGCAACATGCTGTTATGTTGAATTGTTCTTGCTATAGAAAGCAGCTGTTGATTGATTAGCTTGATGATAAACAAAACAAGCTACGAGCTCTATTTCATTGGCTTCTCTAGTCAATTGTTTGCGATGCTGTCAGCACTAGAGAAATTGGACTTGTGTTTAAATTTGTACGTGCTAATCACCATAGCATTTCTGTCTATTTCCATTTCCAATTAGCCACTGTCTCAGAAGGAATGTGTCAAAGAGATGATTTAATTGTTACAGCTCTGGCACGTTATGACAAGTTAAATACTCATTACCGTCTGTGGAATGGCCATTAGATTGAACTGAAGGTCTGCTTTAATTGTCTTGATATTTCTGGTGTTCAGAATCCTTAGTATAAAGTATTTGAGAGTACTTCACTACAATACTTAAGTATTATTATGGGGAATCTGTACTTTACTTGAGTCCTGTTAAAACTGCTGAATACTTGTATTTTTTACTCGATTACATTTAAAAGGTGAAAAAATATCATTTTTACTCCATTACAATTTCATGTAGACTTAAAAGTGCACCTTAAATCTAAATTATTTAAAATTTTAAAAATATTTTCCTGAAGTGACTTTGAGCTATTGTAATGTGATTTTATAAAAACTATTACTGTAGATGGATGAATTTGAGTTGTTAACATGGTTCATGACTAGTCTTGACTATTACACTTTATTCAAATGTCAAACCACTGTAAAATCATCTTCTGAAAACATTCAGGTAACAGGTTTCAGGCTATTGGTTTACTTTAATAAATTGTGATTTTTGACAGGTTTCTTTACAAAGTTTTTGCATCAAAAATACTCAAACGAGACAGTCTCTACTGCCTCTTGTTTTCAAAAGCTTAGAAAACTTTTAAGTACTTAAGTACAATAAAACATGGATACTTTAAAAAAAACGTTTAGTATTTTTCTGAGTAGGCACTTAGACTTTTAATTGAGTAAAAGTTTTGACATGGTAATTCTGATGCAAACTCTTTCAAAAGATTAGCCTACATAATGTTAAACAACATTACACTTTAAGCCTCATAAATAAATATTACATGATTAACAATGGTTAAACGATTACAAAATGTACATTTTGCGCCTGGAATTATGTATAGATATACCGACATGTTAACAAAGAGACCACGCTGGCTAATCATGTGATTCAACATGGCCGCTCCCATGAGTGGACCCGCTCTCTGTAAAACAAAACATCTTGTTATAGGCTACTGATAAAACTACCGTCTTCATCTCATGTGAGTGCATAATCTTTTACATTTTCCAGATAAAATACTATTAATTTCTTTGTTTTGTTAATTACAGTTTTGTTAATTTGTTAATTACATTTACAGAATTACAGTTAACTTGAGGTGAGGCAAAATTGTTGGTTTGGTTTCTCTTTTATTTTTGTAGTATTTCACAGCATTGTAGTTGTCCTTTCACTGCCCGTAATTCTGAAAGAGAGAAAGGTAGAGGCCGCTGTTTCATTATTTTCCTTTCCCCCAGGCCCACCAATTCAATGGCTGTAGCGCTGACCTTTCTATATCCCTATTTGACAGCTCAGGGCACTAACACGACTTTATTTACTGCAGTTTGATAAAGCAGAGGCTATTAAGCTCTGCAGATGGCATTAAACTGCATTCAAAATGGCTTTATACTCATGTCTTATTTTAGTATATCTTGTACTTGCTTTTTCTTGTGCAAGCCATCTGGTTCCAGGCATTGCATTGAATCCTTTGAAATTGAAACAAACTAGCTAAAATCATGTTAGATATGAAGACCTCTATACAAGCTATCTTAGTTGTCCATCCAACAAAGAAAGGAATTAATTTGTCCTTTTTTATTCGCACTGCAGTCAGGGCATGTTCAAAATAGAAGAGAGAGACCCCCAACTACTGTTGATTTGGAGTCATAAATGTTCTTGAGAGTGGAAACAACTATTCCAGAAGCTGGAAGGTCTTGCAGTGGACCTTATTGACAGATACTCTATTACTGCGTTTTTGCAGTTATTGCTATTTTCTTAGAATTTTCAGCTTCACAAGAGGGGGGTTTTCTTTCAGGGCTCAAGAAGATCTTGTTATGATTTCACACCTTACAAGAGCACATCATTTTCATGTTCACTTCATTTGTGTCTAAATAAATTGGATAAAATATTAAACTCATAATTTTAATGAAGGAAATCATATTTATTAGTTTTTAATCACAATATCATTGAACAGAGGGATACATTATAAATCATTTCACTACTTTCATTTAAGCAGAAGTTGCCATTTTTGCTTCTAACAAGAAGAAACTTTAACCTTGTAAATCATTATTAGGAGATAATAAGAAATATTCAACGTGTCTCTTCATTATGTTTTAAATGTTTCAAACAAAACCAATTTTTTTTTTAGAATTATTATTAATGTTTTAAAAGTTAAAGCTACAATATGTCTTTTTTTTTTTTCGCCGCTAGGGGTCGTTAACCTCTTACAGTAACAAAGGCATAGGTTGATGACGCATAAGCAGAATTTTGGAACTTGTCGTCATGCCGATGGATCTAATAATGTTTATGGATGAGTGAATACATTGATGTTTTTAACATGACTGTGGTATGAAGCAGGACGCGATTGCTATTAAGAGACAGACGCGAGTCCCGTGGATATAAAGGAATAAGGAAATTTCATTCTACCGAACTACACGCAAGTGCTGAATTAATACTCACACAGGTCAGTTTATTAGACGAATGAAACTTGTGAGGTAACGCAGCGCTGTTTCACTTGGTCGACACTATCACAGTAAACTGCATTTGAGTGTGTTGAAAGTTATAATGTTATTCTATGTGTTAGTTTGTTGGCTATATGAGACTAGCAGTAAGCTCGATCAACGTTAAAATAACACACTGATCATATTCTAACATTTCATCATGTTGAGCTATATAACATTGATTAGTTTTATGTACATTTGCTCACCTGTCTAATAAAGTACATGCAAGAGCGGCGTCTCTGTCAAGTCGAAGTAAGTTGCGGACGTGGAGCTCTCGGCATCTCAAACGCCACGCTGATATTGATCCTCGTTTTATTTCTCCTTTTGTCCTAAAGTCTGCTTGCCATGGTCCATAATGTTTGAACGAAAAAACAACAACAGCGTGAGTGTGCGCCGCTAGACGTAACGCAGTTGTCCACGTCTGTCGCCATTATTACTATAGCAGTACGAGCGGAAACCAGGGATAACGCGGATATTACGTCATTGACAGGCAACAATGACCAGAAATTAAAAATCTTTGGGAACTTGGATATTGTAAGTACACAACTACAGGAAATATATCACACCGTGCAAGTGATTTTTGGATATTTTATTACAAAAATCTTACATATTGTACCTTTAATCATTTAATATATTTTTTATATCCTTGTATCTCTAATATCACTTTACTTTCTTTTAGCCTTGTTAATATCCCTTGTAATATTACACTGACAAAAGCCAGTTCTTGAATGACACCTTCCTCCAGGAAGTGAGATCATTTTGGTGAGACAACAATAGCACAGATATGAAGTATTAGCAATAGATTTGATTCATTTTTTTGCTGTTTTGTAGTATTTGTCTTGTCAACTGTTTGATAAAATTACAGAAATCTATATGAAAAATATCAATAAGGCAACTCCCCCATGTAAGCTGAATATTTATTTCCACTCTAAGTTCTGTCCTGTACATTTTCTTGCCATTGATGTAATATACCTAAATAAATATCTTAAATGCTTAAGATATTTCTAAAAAACAAACCCACCAACAGAAGGAACAGTCTCTCTTGTGGTTCTTCTCACCATTTCTGCTTATTCTTCAGTCACTCAACTCTGATGTGAATGGTTCAGTAAAATGAATGGTTCCATGAGAGCATTGATTTAGTGCTCATTTTATTTTAAAATATTTGAAATCATTATGAAATGTTTTCCTTTTCCAGGTGTTGATTTCAAAATGAAGACCTTAGAAATAGATGGCATTAAAGTACGAATACAAATATGGTATGGCTTATTTTTCTCTAATACAATATAACTGTATTTGATCAATTGATTTAGCTAATCAGATGTCTTTGTGTCTGCAGGGACACAGCAGGTCAGGAGAGATATCAGACCATCACTAAGCAGTACTACAGAAGAGCACAGGTGAGCTTCACACCTCCACAAAGACATCTCACTACTCATATTGTGACCTACTGAATGATTCAGATCTAATAGAGATGCCTATTGGTGTCCATTGTGTGATAATTCTCTGATAAACGCGGATTGATTCTGTATCAACAGGGCATTTTTCTGGTGTATGACATCACAAGCGAGCGCTCGTTCCAGCACATCATGAAGTGGGCCAGTGATGTAGATGAGGTGAAGCTATGGAGTTTAAAGCATATCTTATTTATTTATAGATAAAAAAAATTTTTATTAGTAATATTTTTCATACCTGTTTTACCTTTTTTCATGTTGCAATACATTATCATCTGAAATAAAACACTGAAATATGGCTTTGAATTGTGAGTTTTGGACCCCACTGTATGATTCATATTTTCTATTTAAAAACATTGCCACCACGCCACAAGAGTCACGAGTGCAAAAGAAAACAGGATGAATAGTCACAATACACAAACTGTACTAAACCAATACTGGTTATTGATCTTGCTCAAACCTGTGCACTCGTGTTAAATGAGTTCTATGTCTCATATCATATTTATCTGTTTCTGCTCTGCTCTGTTCATTTGCTTCTGTTGAATCTCTTCTGGTTCTGTCCAGTACGCCCCTGAGAAGGTGCAGAAGATACTTGTTGGGAACAAGTCTGATGAAGAACAGAAGAGACAAGTAGCTACAGAACAGGGAGATAAGGTAAATAAATAATACTTCCCTCCTGTACACTGCATCTTTCATTCATACTGCCATTTATTCCACATTTACTCATTTATGTGATAAACCTAATAATTAATATCTAAGTTTTAAGACCTCTTTCAAACATCTCCAGCTTGCCAAGGCTTATGGAATGGACTTTTTTGAGACAAGTGCCTTTACCAACCACAACATTACAGAGGTACAATGCTGCCCGCATGCATTTTTCTTTTCAGCATTTCTGCATTTGATCGGTTTTGTTCTTTTTAGATATTTGAAGAAGGGATAAACAAGTTGTTCATGCAACCAACTGATCATTTTGTTTGCATATTTTTATTGTCTACAGCTATTTAGGGTTCATATTTTTCCTTCCATTACAGTCTTTCACCCGATTGGCTGAATTAGTCTTACAAGCCAATAAGAAGGATCTTGATTTATTGGGAGGATCCATGAATGAGGAGTTCAATCTGGCTGTTTTGGAGGAGCAGGAAGGATTGTGTAATGGTAGCGACAACACCAGTAAGCCCTGCTGGTGCTGAGGACAGGAAGTGACATTTTTCAGTTGATTTCCATATTTATGTTGCATTTACATTTTGAATATTTTTTCAGTTTAAGAAAAGACGATCAAAAGGGCACTTTAGTGCAACTGTACATTATTTAATTAGGCTCATTCAAACACATTTAGAGACACTCTTAAGTTATCTTATATATAAAGAACAGGTTGATTTAAGTGTGAGGAAGCATTGACAGGATGCTTTATTTAACATGGTTTTGTGGCTGGAACGTCCATGTTAACATGTAATATTCATTCTTTTGTTATGCTATGGGATTCATGTGAATATTTCGAGAATTGATTTGGCTTTCTATAAAATTCTCTAAAGCCTTGAATGCACCTACTTGACCTTCATTGAATGCTCTTTCAAGGTAATAAATTTATTCTTGAGTGATGAATTGATGAAGCTAGAGTTTCTCATGTCAGTGTAACAATATAAGCTTCTTTTCTGTAAAAACATTGTCACTAAACTTGCTGCTTACAGTTCTGGTCCACTGTGATTGCAAATGAATGCAAGGGTTTTTATCTCATTTATCTGAGGTTATTGTACTAAAATATTATCATTTAATGTGGTATTTATACCGATATTGCATCAAGCTCTTTTTTGTTATTAATAATCACTATTTAGCTGATTAGAATAGTTGGAATGTTTCAACTTTTACTCTATAAATGATTCTTGAAATGCTAAAGTTGAACTGATCTCAGCACACCGAACAATATTTTTTATCCTACTTTAATTAACGTCTCACCCATCCCAACTTGTATGAAATGTATCCAGAATGAACCGTTGGGATTCCCAGCATTAATGCTGGGGTGAGTCGCTGCAATGACATGGGTTGTATTGCTAATGATTCAATGTATATATTACACTATTGAAGCATTTATATGTGCAAGTGGTATTGTACTAATGTTGATTTAAACGAACTCTTGAATAATGCTGATATGTTTACCTGTGCTATCTGAGAACTTGTTTCATGAAATATGTCAACAAAACAATTAGAGAAATTTAAATACGTATGTGGTTATTTATTACACTGTAATGTTGTGATTCTGTTTTGGGGGGGTCAAATATTTACGAATAAACATTTAATTATGAAAAGGTTGTTTTGTTTTTTAATTGAAATTGTGGTACTAAATTACATTGGATATACAGACAGAATAATAGTGTGATTTCACACAGTTGCAACACCACAAGTCAACACTAGGAGGCAGTTGTGCAAAGCCAAAATCCATGCATGGAAATGTGGTTGCGCATGGTGAAACACTGGGGGGAAACAACAGGAGGAGAAGAATTTGTTTGTGGATTTTTTTTTTATGTAAGGCAGAACTGATAGATTATCCTTCAGCAGTTGTAAAGTATTTTGATAATTAGTCAGTTCTTTTGCGCAATTTTATCAAGGTCATGATGTTTTCTTTTAGAACAGATATGTATGCCGTGTTAAGTGTCCTTCAAAAATACTTTGAAACTAAATATTCTGCTTGTACATCTTTGTAGCAAAGCAGATCTCTCCATACGCAGCTGGATGAAGTCTGGACAGAGAGAGCACTAATTGTGTATGTGGATGGCTGCAATGATACAATTGCAAATATATTACAAAATAAAATTGTCTCAAATGTTAACAAAAAACTACATTCCCAAACACTTTCTTCTGTGTGAACACAAAAGATGATGTATTGGTAACACTTCACCATTTGGCTTTTATTGAACATGTCGAAAATTACAAATCGGCCCTGAACTCGGCTCGTTCTAGTTTTGTATCTGCCACAACTAATTAATCAAGCAACAGGCCAAAAGCATTATTCAACACAATAAATAAACTTACTAAACCTCCATCTCAGGTTGCTCTATAGCTTCAAATGAACTTTGCTGTTCATTCATTAATCACTTGCTAAAAAAGACAGACGCCGTCCACCAGTGTTTCTCTAATGATGCAACGGATATTTGCCAAATCAATCTAGTCAGTCCCTGACTTTCTTTTCTCTGACTACTCCATCTTCTGTCTCCGAGTTAATTTTGAAATCCAACCCTTCATCTTGTCGTATTGACCCTGCTCCTACTCCTCTTCTGAAACTCTGCCATTCAGTTACTCTGCACCTATCTCTCACTTCATCAATGCATCTCTTACCTCTGCTTCATTCCCTCTGCCACTCAAAACTGCTGCTGTTACCCCTGTTCTGAAGAAACCCAACCTTGATACCTCAGTTTTATCTAATTATCGTCCTATTTCAGATCTATACCCTTCATGGCAAAATTACTGGAAAGTACTGTTGCCTCCCAGCTTCAGTCTTTTCTAGTCGAAAATAATTTCTTTGATCCTATTCAATCTGGTTTTCGCCCTCTTCACAGTACTGAAACTGCACTAGTCAAGGCACTGAATGATCTGCTTCTTTCTGGTGACTGGTTCTCATACTCCTGCTGCTCGACCTCAGCTCTGCCTTCGATACGGTCTCCCATGAACTACTCATATCTCGCCTTTCTGACGTGGGTATTTCTGGTGCTGCTCTTTCTTGGTTTTCTTCCTATCTCTCTGACAGACAATTCTACATTTCAGTTCAAGATTTTCGCTCACCTACTGTCCCCCTGAAGCAAGGTGTCCCCCAGGGATCCGTTCTCAGGCCATTATTATTCATAATCTACATTATACCTCTTGGTCAGATCTTCCACCATCATGGTTTTAATTAAATTTTTACGCTGATGACATCCAATTATACACTATCTGTACACCTGCTCTATCTGTCACAACCGACAAAATCTCTGCTTGTGTGCATGAAATAAAAGATTGGCTCCATTCAAATTTTCTAAAACTTAACATGGACAAAACTGAGATTATTTTTACTGGACCTCCGTCACTCACTAGCAAAATTCCTACCAGCTTCACCTGTGAGATTGCTGGCTCTCACATCAAACCATCTAGTACTATTAAAAATCTTGGTATAATCTTTGACTCCTCACTCTCTTTCCAGGCTCATATTAATTCTATCACTAAATCAGCATTCTTTCATCTACGTCGCATCGCCCAGCTCCGTCCCTTCATCAGTATCAATGACGCTGAAACTGTCATCCATGCATTTGTCACATCATGTCTTGATTACTGTAATGCCCTTTTCCTTGGACTATCTGCTAGCTCCATTTCCAAATTGCAAACCATTCAAAACTCTGCTGCTAGAATACTTACTCCAAACGTTCTGCCCATATCACCCCAATTTTGTACGATCTTCACTGGCTTCCAGTGGCTTACTGTATTAAATTCAAAATCCTCCTGCTCACTTTAAAATCTCTGCACAGCTTGGCTCCCCCCTGTCTTTGTAACCCTGCTCCACCCCTACACCCCGACTCGCTCTCTACGATCCTCTGACTCTAGCCTTCTCGTTGTCCCTCGGCATCGCCAGCTTCAATGGGGGGCAGATCATTCAGTGTCATTGCACCCAAACTATGGAACTCTCTCCCCCGATCACTCTGTTGTGTTAATGCCATTTCTGAATTTAAAACTATGCTCAAAACTCACTTATTTTCTGAATGTCAGCATTCTTAAGTTGTACTACATTTCATTGTGTCTGATCGTATGCTGTATGCTGCCCCAACATAATTATCCTTTACTGTACTTTTACTCTCATCTACCTACTGTTGTTTTGTTTGTTATCATTGCCCATTGACATTATTGTTGCTTGTTCATTGTAAAGCGTCCTTGAGCCCTGGAAAGGCGCTATATAAATAAAACGTATTATTATTATTATTAACAATGAAAAATCATTTTGAAGCATTTTAGAAGTTTTACTAATAGATTATTAAAATCAAAGTTTTATTTTTATGTATATTATTTAATATTATGGACCTGAGGTCACAAACTAACAATGAAAGTTTTTATTTTTATTGATTATCAAAAAAGATTAATAAATACAGTAAAATTAATTGTTCATTGTTAATTAATGCATTAACTAAAGTCAAAGACCATATTGTTACCAATTTATGTTGTCTGTACTGTATCTTGTGTTATAAGAAAGAAAGTCAAACAGGTTCGGAACAACATGAGGGTAAATAATGGCATGCAGCATTTTCAATACATCACATGCATACACATCTATTTACAAAATGAGAGGATTTCTTCATTAATAATGTTGCAGTGCTGAATCTATATTTGGCACACATACTGTATACACATGTGAATGTTCTCATATTCTTGATTTGCCTATACTCTGGTACTTGCCATTTATACAATGTCCATTGTGTGCAGAGGACGCATTTGTAAGGCTATTTAGTAAATCTATTTAGGTGTCACAGTGTGTTCTCTCACTGATGTCGTCTCTAAGAGAGTGCCAAGTGGAAGAGCTCTAGCTAGTTGCATGAGGGACACAAAAAGTATAAAAAATGAAGGCCTAACTTGGATAACATGATGGTTATCATGTACGAACTGCCAAAGTCGGGAGATTACATGAGGACACATTTGGCTCAATCCTGCTATTGTCATTAGTCTCACTTTTGAGTTAAACAAGATTTAATCTTCTTTTCTTCATCTCCATTGTCAGCATTCAGAGTTTTGGAATCCGGGATCAAGCTGATTACGAAAGAGGAGAAAAACAGCCCTTAGCTCCGCTCAGTTTTCCTTTCCTAGATAATCCTGTCATGCCATAACCAAATACTTCCATGCAATTGGCTCATTTAATCATTCATTTGCTCATAACAAAAACTTGCATTGAGTGAAATAAACCAATGTGTCCTTAGGACAGACGAGAGAAGAGAGAGAGAGAAACGAGATGTGCTTTAGTATTATTTTTGGGGTGCGTACGCATGCAGCGGGGGCGTTTGGTGAGGAAAGGGGGGGGTCCAGCTTCAGGACACTTCTGCTAAGCACTGTGTTGTCATCCTCCCACCTCGCCACACTGTGCTTTCACACCA